TTTTTTTTTTAAAGAATTTTATTAGGCAAACTACCTTTAATCACACTATCGGAAATGTTTCTATATAAACAAAGAAGGCCCGAAGCGTGCATTATTCTACAACAATGCACTCGCCGTTCTTATTATCTCCCTGTGTATTTTCACATTGAGGGCGCCATTTTGTTTGAAAAATGTGATAAATAAAAACAATTTTTTGTCGAATTTTGTTGTGAAAACTATCTAGAATGAAAGAAAATGGTCTAACTAAGAAAATGAATTCGAACACCAATATCTTTTATTCAGTCGTTAACGCTGTACAGACGTTTAAAGTATTGTTTACGTGACGTCACAATGTAGCGCCAAACAGCACGTGCAAAACAATCAAATCAAGTACGCTATTTTAATGTCGCAAACGAGTTAAGTTTTACATTTATTTCACTTTTAATAATTTTTATTTCGCTTGAAAAATTATAGAGTGAAATAAAATAAACATCAACGTTTCCAAAATTCGTTATTCTACACACAGAAGATTTAACGACAGTTTATATATTTTTTCTTGAAAAGTAGTCCGGCAAACATGCATACCACGTGATCAAGTGCCGTAGATCAGTAAAAATATACGGCACCTTGTTATCGGGTCGAAATTGATACAAGTGACAGGATAAAAAGTGATAAATACCCTCATCATTTTAATTATATCACAGGACAATAATGATAATATTGTATACATTATTTAACTGTACATATTCTGTCAAATTAAATCAATTTATAGTTACTATGGTGGCAAATATGAACACCTAGGTATCTTGCATAATCTACAATTTAAAATTTCTTGCAATTATTTATTCAATGGCTTTTAAGACTTTTGAATAAAATGTGATATCTCAAAAAAAGCTATGTTATTTTGTTTTATTTTTATTATCATCAACTACAATTAAGCTGTAAAGTTTCATTTATACTACTAGTAGGCCTATTTATAAGATATTTTAGTATGTGAAGCAAGCAGATGGATGGCCTTTCAAATCAATTCATGAACATGTCTATTTTGATCCTCTAAGTTGGTATTACTCTAAAGCCAATAATTTGACCTAGTCATCTTAATTAAGGAACTAAGATATGTTTTGTGTATTTTTAGTTGAAATAAAGATATACATATAACTATTAACCTGGCAAAATATGCAATATTTAGTCATTTTAGGAGAAAGTTAACTTGTTACGTAAGATGGGGACAGACTGAATCAAAACTAAACCAGGACAAAGTATTGTTTAAATAACTGATGAAACTGTTTTTTTTTATTCAGACAGTTACAGACATACTGTTACAGACAATAGGTTGACAGACAAATGGACGGAAAACAGACATGATCACATACAACAGACAGAATGGTTTACATTAAGCACCAAGAGTTCTCAAGTGAACTAAAAAATAAACATATGGCACATCTAAAAATGACAACAATGTTTTATACAACCTACAGTTCGTTTAGTATGTACATTTTTGTATTTATTTTTCAAAGCATATGCCAACAACAGCAAGTTTTTTTATATGTTTACTTGATTATTAATACATTTTTCCGTTTATGTGACTGTTCAGATAAGATAGCATGTTTTAATGAAATATTCTAATTCTCTTACAAATACAACTGATGTTCATAATCTCTATATTTATACAATACAGTTCACTATATCCACCAAGTTAAAAGCATAGTATGTCACATATGTGTTAGTATATGGACTAACAAGTGAGCCGCGTCGCGACAAAACCAACACAAGAGCCGGTTGAACCGGGTGATGCTCCCCGAATAGGTTTTGGACACAAGAAGGTATACCTCTTGTAGTGTCAGTCTAGTTATGTCACAGACAAAGTTCAAAGTGTAAAAACAACCCAAATGTTGTGCACAACACATTGTCTTAATATGGTGATCATTTCTGTGAAATAGTTGTAAAATCAGACTTCAAATAAGGAAGTTATGGGCTAGACACGATTTTGCTGCAAGGTCATGCTGTGACCTTGACATTCAAGGTAGCGCCCCAAATGTTGCATGTGACACGTCGATTCAATATGGTGATCATCCCTGTGAAATAGTTGTTAAATCCGACTTCAAGGAACGAAGTTATTGGCCGAACGCGATTTTGCTGCAAGGTCATGCTGTGACCTTGGCCTTCAAGATAGCAACCCAAATGTTGCGCACGACACATCATCTCAATATTGTGATCATTTCTGTAAAAAAAATTTAAAATCCGACTTCAAATAACGAAGTTATGGGAAGGACAAGATTTTGCTGTGACCTTCAAAGTAGCGACCCAAATATTGGGCGCGACACGTTGTCTTAATATGGTGATCATTTCTGTGAAATAGTTTTAAAATCTGACTTCAAATAACGAAGTTATGGGCTGAACATGATTTTGCTGCAAGGTTATGCTGTGACCTTGACCTGCAAAGTAGCGACCCAAATGTTGCGTGCGACACGAAGTCTTAATATGGTGATCATTTCTGTGAAATAGTTTTAAAATCTGACTACAAATAATGAAGTTATGGGCAGGACAAGATTTTGCTGCAAGGTCATGCTGTGACCTTGACCTTCAAGGTAGCGACCAAAATGTTGGGCGCGACACGTCGTCTCAATATGGTGATCATTTCTGTGAAATAGTTTTAAAATCCGACTTCAAATAAAGAAGTTATGGACCGGACACAATTTTGATGCAAGGTCATGCTGTGACCTTGACCTTCAAGGTAGCGACCCAAATGTTGCGCGCGACACATCATCTCAATATGGTGATCATTTCTGTGAAATAGTTTTAAAATCCGACTTCAAATAACTAAGCTATGGGCCGGACACGAATTGGGACATACGGACGGACAGAAGTTCTAACAGGAGAGTAATAATGTGGCTACTCTATTGTTCTCTCTATTGTTCTTTTAAGCCACACAAAAGAAAATAGCCACATAAAAGCATTACAGAATGAATGACATCAAAGAGAAACAAGAGCTGTCGGTAGGACAGCACGCTGGACTATTCTAAGTGCTTGATAGTAAAAGAGCCTTGATAATGTTAATTTTTTTAAGTTCACAAAAGGTCTAAATTTTTTTTATAAATTCATGTTATAGGCCTTAGAGAGAGTCTAATTATACAGTATTGGCTTGACTATTCGGAAGGTAAGACTATTCGGAAGGTAATGTCACAAAGGTGTTTTATTGAGTATAATAATACTAATTACCTATGAATACATAAATTTGACAGAAAAGGTACAAAGGCTTGTTATTAAGATGTTTTATCAAGTAAATCACTGCTTTATTATTATGAATGCATAAAATTGTCCCAAAAAAGGCACAAACCCTTCAGTAGTTATTGAGATAACAGCTTACAAGCAAAACTTTACCATGTATTTCTAAGTTGAAAAAGGGGAGAAAAATCAGCCTAAATGCAAGATAGAATTATGGATCTTAGTCAGTGACCTACAATTATGACCCTAAATGCATATGTGTAGTTTTAAATAAATATCTTTAATAGTTATTGAGATATGTAAAACTTGCATGTAAACATTAACCAAGAGACTAAGTAGAAAAGGGGATATGAATCAGCCTTAATGCAAGATAGAGTTATGGAACTTGGTCAGTGATATACAATTATGACCCTCCAATTATGACCCTAAGTGCATGTGTAAAGTTTCAAGTAAATATCTTTGAAGACCTTTAACCTTTAACCAAAATTTCTAAGTTTCAAAGGGGCAAATTATTCTGCAAATATTGCAGGCAGAGTTATGCAATCTTGCAAACTGATGTACAGTGTTACTATAAAAAAGTATTTTAAATTTCAATTGAATATCTCAAGCAATAATTGAGATATTTGACTTTACAAAAAAACTTTAAAACAAAATTTCTAAGTTCCAAAGGGGTATAATTCTGTCAATATTGTAGGCAGAGTTATCCAACTTGTCAATCTGATGTACCTTGTTACTATAAATAAGTATTGTAAGTTTCAATTGAATATCTCAAGCAATAATTGAGATATTTGACTTTACAAAAAACTTTAACCAAAATTTCTAAGTTAAAAAGGGGTATAATTTTGTCAATATTATAGGCAGAGTTATCCAACTTGTCAATCTGATGTACCTTGTTACTATAAATAAGTATTGTAAGTTTCAATTGAATATCTCAAGCAATAATTGAGATATTTGACTTTACAAAAAACTTTAACCAAAATTTCTAAGTTAAAAAGGGGCATAATTCTGTCAATATTGTAGGCAGAGTTATCCAACTTGTCAATCTGATGTACCTTGTTACTATAAATAAGTATTGTAAGTTTCAATTGAATATCTCAATCAATAATTGAGATATTTGACTTTACAAAAAACTTTAACCAAAATTTCTAAGTTAAAAAGGGGCATAATTCTGTCAATATTGTAGGCAGAGTTATCCAACTTGTCAATCTGATGTACCTTGTTACTATAAATAAGAATTGTAAGTTTCAATTGAATATCTCAAGCAATAATTGAGATATTTGACTTTACAAAAAACTTTAACCAAAATTTCTAAGTTAAAAAGGGGCATAATTCTGTCAATATTGTAGGCAGAGTTATCCAACTTGTCAATCTGATGTTCCTTGTTACTATAAATAAGTATTGTAAGTTTCAATTGAATATCTCAAGTAATAATTGAGATATTTGACTTTACAAAAAACTTTAACCAACGCAGATGCCGTCGCGGACGCGACTACAATAGCTCTCATATTCTTCGAATAGTCGAGCTAAAAACAGTTACCTATTGTCCCTCTAGCCACATAATTACTGTCCTGTGAGTGCGGACTGACAGACGGATGGACAACCCGACAACTATATGCTCCCCCGAAATTTTTCGGGGAGCATAATAATGTGTTTGCGACCAGCATGGATCCAGACCAGCCTGCGCATCTGCGCAGTCTGATCAGGATCCATGCTGTTTGCTATCAGTTTCCCTACTTGTTCTAGAATTTTTAAGCGAACAGCATGGATCCTGATCAGACTGCCTGGTCGCAAACCCATTATGTTGGTTTTGTCATGACGCGGCTCAATTTGTCACATGTGTCAGTATATGGACTAACAAGTTATTTTACATGATCTGATCATTTACATTTTCCTAGGAGATCAATTTAGCCCTATATATATAGACTGGTACAACATGTTTTATGGTTGGAAAGTATCTCCCTGCAATAATCATGGTCACAGTCTGTATGTCTGCATTGGCTGGTGTGTAACACTAAATGGATATGCTGGAGCATCTGTGTTAAAGAATGAAAAAATATGTGTATAAGTCATTGTAATATACTTAACACTGTTTTGATTACTGATTTTATTGAAAAAAATATACATACACTTGTATATACATGTATTAATAAAATGTTGACACGTATTATTATAGCCATTTAATTGTTTTTCCTAGTTTAAAATCTGACAAAGAAAAACAAATAGAACCTATATGGTGAGCTATAGATACTGATAGGAAGCATTCTTATTCAAGTCATCTCTTCAATAACTCACTGTTTCAGCCTTAATAGTAAATTTATTAATGAACTCATCAAAGAAGATAAAATCAGACGATAATAAGTTCTTTCAAAATTTACATCAAATCTGTTACTCGAAAGTAGAAATACAGGTGCAGGTCAAGCAACAAACTTATGTTTTAATATTCATGATAAATATTTTATGCTCAATCTTTAAGTACATTATATAATCTTTAATGGCCCAGTTATCCTTTCATATATCATTTCCGGTACAAGTGGACACTTCAGTAGAATCAATGACCTTCTGTAACCAAGCTAAATATAACTTTCTCTATATGAAAGAATAGAACTTGCCGGCCAGATTCTAACCTACAACATTGATAACAACGAGTTATGCAGTAGTTAAGAATTGAAATAAAACAAACCAGTTAAATATTTGCTCCTGAATTCTTCCTCTATTTGTTGCAGTTTTACAATCTCTGTCAGATACTGAAAAATACAGGTCAAATTACTTTATACTTGTTATGTCCATATATGTCACATGGTGAGAAAAATATAAAGTCTGACCAAGACTAGAATCGAGGTCCCTCGGCATAAAATTCCATACTATACTAGATATACACTTATCCTTTAAATTTTGTAATTCAGCTAACAAGTCAAAAAAATTTTCTAGTAGGAATATTTTACCTTCACAATCCTACAATCTGAGTTGTGAACACCAGCTCTGTTCAGATATTTCTCCAATGTCAACTCCAGCATGGAATTCTTATGAGGCAAAGATGCACCACTGAAAAAAAATACCAATTGAGTAACTCTGTCTGTACAAGACATGTAATGCTTAGGTGAGCTAAAATGTTTGTCACTGGGTAAAAAAGTAGATCAACTGATATCAAAGTTCAACTGTGGGTATAGTCTTAATTTAATAGCTGTAGCTATAAATACAAATACTGAGGTAAAATTTTTACTATAGTAAAAACTTAACCTCAATATAGCCCTGGGGTAAAGATTGACGCTGTCCCATGTATGTACAATGTATATAGTAAAAACTAGACAATGTTTCATGCCAAATATCTAAGCTCTAGCCTTTGTGGTTTCAGAGGAGACAATTCTTCAAGTTTTACTACATACATGTAAAGAAAACCCCTGACCAGCTGGTCTGGGCCAACTTTGACCCATGGGCTATAATTTGACAAAACTTGGTAGAGATTCATAAGATAATGTTAAATATCAAATTTCAAAGCTCTAGTCTTTGTGGTTTCGTAAAAAAAATATTCTTAAAGTTTTTACTTTTGTATGCCAACCAGAGATCTACATGGAATGGAATTCTTTGAAAATTTGAAGAAAAAAAACCCCAACAACTTCATGCCAGGAACAATTCTGCCTTGTTTTAACACTATTGGCCCAATGGTTTAGGAGATGTTGTTTGAAGCAAAAGTTGATGATGCACAAGGTCTTACACCTGACAGTCCCAGCCAGGTCACAATAACTCACCATGAGCATGGTGTGCTCAGCTGAGCTAAAAATAGTAACTTAGTTTTGTTACAAATAAACAAAAGAAGATAAAAGAGAGAATATTTACATAAAATCTATTTGCTCATTACTTGAAGTGACTGTATGGTAGAAACTGAAAGCCTTGTTTGAGATCTCCTGTAAACACCTGAATATATATAAAACAATAATTCAAATAATCTTTTTTCTATCATAGTAACTATTGACTACACTGTACATGTAAGCATGGTTGATCCTCTAATAGTTTTAAAATACATGTATAAGTAAAACTTCCTTGCTTTATTACTTATATTTTTAACATACAATTTATAATTCATCTATATACTTAAACATATTAAGTTGACATAATAATCTTCAACATTTCTTAAATTGTAAATGAGTACCTCTAGTGCAAAACCCTTCGATATGTGATAAAAAAATCTGAAAATACCACAAAAGATCACATTTTTATGAAGTTTGTTTCACAGAATCAACAAAATAATAGCTGTTACTTACAGTTGTGTGAAGGTCAAAATGGCAGCCTCAGACTTAAATGTTTTCTTCTTGTTATGTATTGATGTAATAAAGTTTAGTAAGATGCCCTGGTAAGGTTGACAATATACAACATTCTTCTCTAGGTCAATGAAGGTCATGAATCTCTACAATACAGACATGATATGTTAGACGATTATGATAAATGTACTTATTATATCCTAATCACAGTTTTAGTTTAGACCTAAATGTGATAAGATGTGTATGTTTATATAAACCACAGTTTTTTAATTTTGTTTTTTAATTAAATTTTACGTTGCACCAACACAGTATATGTCATATGGTGACTTTCTAGCTTAACTGCTGGTGAAATACCCCAGGTGCTGCTTTGTGCGTCATTTCAGGAACAAACGAGCACCCAAGTAGAACCACTGACGTTTTGTAATCTAGCTGGATAGCTTTCACACATAAAAAGAATCCGTAGACACTTATGAGGCTTAAACCTACAGCAATGAGAGGCAAGTGGTTTGAAGTCAACAGCCTGAACCATTCACACCACACTGTAGTCAGCCTTCAGGACTTCCCTTTGTATGTTACATGGAGAAAATGGTTTTGACCAAAGTAAGGCTTGAATCTTGACAGACAAAAACATTAACTAAAATATCATCTCTCTATAAGAGTGCACAATGTATTAACAATACTGATATAGTATAAATCAATGTTCTTGTTATTAATACAAATTCTTGTACTGTCTGCTATTGGCTAGTTTTTGTTATTTAATTTACTGTTACTGATGATATAATATGAGGCACATACCCTGACTGACTTGGGTATTAAGTAGTCAATTGAACGTTTATCAGATCTGATGACCCCTCGTAGTTGAAACTTGTGCATATCTGACAGCTTTAACTGCTTTATTTGGCATAACAAACTCACAGAACTTGACCTGAAATGTTAGAAAGCATGGCAATATAACAAGAGTAAAAGGCTAGACAAAAAGAAATTAATAAACATTTATAATTTCATGTGAAATTAGCAAATACATGAAAATACTTATAATAAACATATGATTAAAATTACACACTTCTCTCTAAAAGTATTCAATGTAATTGACAGTAATTCTAGCTTATTAAAATACTATTTAAAATGAAGTAATGTATTAGCGGTATATTGTTGCACAAACTTAGTAATATATTACATAAAGTATGCAAATTTAGTCATGTAATTAAGCAGGGTACAATTTATTTAAGTTAAGTTACAACAGTGTTATAATGAACTTGAAAATCTGGTGCACATAAACATTTGCTATAAATAGCAATTCAATGAACCCTAAAAAAAGTACATACATTTAATTCAGTAAACAGAAATGACCTTATTTCCTGAGTTTCATGTAAATATTTCATTTATATTTGAAAACTTTATAAGCAATAAATACCTAGGTGTATATGGCACAAACATAGACATTGCCTGAATAAATTCCCTGATTGTCACTTCCTGTCTTCTTGTTCCCATGACAACCACTGGCCTCCCTGACAACAAACTAAACACAATATGCTGTATATTGTTGTAATTTACTAATACTTTCTGTAAGGAATGACCTGTAAAAAGAAATGATATTGATATATCAATGAACTATGCTAAAAAATTACATTCAGCATTTTAGTCAGAATATCATGTTATATGGTATAACATACTACAAATGAAAGATAAAATGTAATTTATTGTCTTTGAAGCATACTTACCAACAGAGTTTTCCCCATCATGTAAGTTTTTAAATGGATGCATAAATTTCCACTTCCTTTTCTTTGCCTCCATGGCTGATATATTTTCACAGACAGAGGTTCTTCGAGGTACATTGTCTTGACAAAGAGTGTATCCATGTTTATCATGGTCAAGACTGAAACCATCACCTAGTAACTCTTCAGTTTTCTCCCCAAATTCTATATCTGAACTTTTATCACTTACACTTCCAAAGTCAAGACTGGTTTGTTTTTCAAGGATGTTATCAATATCTAAACCACTATCAGAGGAAATCTCTGACTGGGCAGCTTTATGTTGAATTACACAGCCTTTTGTATCATTTTCAAGCTTTGTGTTTTGTTCTGATGATATACTTTTAATTTCATCACTACCGTCCTTTGTTACCTTGGGCCCACTCTCAACATCAACAGTATGGTTGTCTGTTTCAACAGTTTTAATACTAGCACTGTCACATTTTTGTATCACAGGAATTTGATCACACAGTGTAGAAGTACTGTCGGTCATAACAGGTGTTATATCTTCATTGTCACCATGTATATATTCTGTATTTAATGCTAAATCTGTAGGTCTATCAATATTGAACACACTGGTTTTATCTACATTTAATTCATCATTGCACTTGCCCTGGTTATTATCATTATGTTCATTTGGAGAATCGGAATCTATATCTTTAGCACCAGTTTGTTCTGTATTGCACTTACTTTTATCCTCTGCAGATTTTCTGTTTGTCTTATCACATGCACATCCTTTAACATTACACTTCAAATCTTTATCAATATCAATGTTATAGAAATCAGAAATAGTAGAATCACTCCTATGTTTACTCAAATCATCTTTACACTTGTTTATTGAAGGAGCCGAGTCATATTTAGTGGGTTTTTCAACCTTTGATTCAACATCAGTACTGTTATATGGTTCCCCAGCTTTTAAAGTGTCCAGTAATGAACTATTCCAGTCTGCAGCAGAGGGGTCTAGGTAATTATTTGGATCAAACGAGCAATCATTAGGAAACATTAAATCTTCAGGACCAGTATCATAACTATCTCTGGCTGATGACATCTCTGATATCTGTCTGTAACAGAAATACATCAATATGTAACAGAAAATATTAGCATGCAACAGGAATATTTCAATATGTAATAAGAATATATCACTAAATTACATTAATATATTAATATGTATCAGGAAAAAGCAAAAAAACTTCAAATTACAATAATTTACGTTTCAATGTCAAGGTCATTTACGACTCAAAGTCAAAATGAGTTTAAACTTCTTTATGACATTGTCCTTAAGGTAGTTCTGCTCAAGTATGAAGACATTCCATTCAAAAATAATAAAGTTATAGCTAATTATAACAACAATCATGCAAAATTCTATCATTTGACCTTCAAGATCTAGGTCATTGATGAATGACGGTCATAAAAAATTTGGTATACTTGAAGATTTTGTCCAAAGAATTGTTGTGTCCAAGTATGACTACAATCCAGTAATAAATAATTCTTTATAGTTGTAGCTAAAATCAAGCAAAATTCAAACATTTGACCTTGAAGGGCAAGGTCATTTATGATCAATGTCAAGTTTAGTCTGGCTAACTAGAACGATTTGTCTAAAGGCTTATTGTGTTCAAGTATGAAGGCAATCCATTCAGAAACAAGAACGTGTTTGTTAAACACAAATGCCCCCGGCTCAGATTCTTGTCAGTAGCAATACCCCAAAAATGTTAACCCATTCACTCAGTTATGGACAGAAAAATCGCCAAAAAATTGTACACACAAGTTTTATAGCTTGACAAAGTCATGGCATTTTGTAATTGTGAAAAATATAAGTTGCCAAGTCATTGCTCTGACTTGTGAAGTTGAAAAATATTCAACTTCATGCAAGTTATCTTCCTACCAAATATGAAATACATCTGTCATTAAATAAAGGCTGTATGGGCAAAAGTGTAATGATCTATTTTGAGCACTGGTGACCTTGACCAAACTGACCCCTAACTCTATCCAAAAGAAGAATACCATGTAAGTTATCTTCCTACCAAATATGAAATACATCTGTCAATAAATAAAGGCTGTATGGGCAAAAGTGTAAAAATCTATTTTTAGCACTTGTGACCTTGACCCAACTGACCCCTTACTCCATCCAAAGGAAGAATACCATGCAAGTTATCTTCCTACCAAATATGAAATACAACTGTCAATAAATAAAAGCTGTATGGGCAAAAGTGTAAAAATCTATTTTTAGCACAAGTGACCTTGACCCATTGATCCCTACCCCAATCAAAAGGATGAATACCATGCAAGTTATCTTCCTACCAAATATAAAATATATCTGTCACTTAATAAAGGCTGTGTGAGCAAATGTGTAAAAATCTATTTTTAGCACTGGTGACATTGACCCAACTGACCACTAACTCCACAAAGTTTATGTTTCTATCAATTATAAATAACATCTGTCTGTCTATAGAATAAGGTCAATACACCTGTAAAAATGTAAAAATCTATTTTTTACATTGGTGACCTTGACATTGGTAACATTGACCTTGACCCAAATGACCACAAACTACACCCAAAGAAGGAGGTGTTTGTATTAAACTAAGACATCAACTAAAAAATAAAGGCTGTATGAGCAAAAAGGTTTATATTTATTTTTTAAACCAGTGACCTTGACCTTGACCCTAGAGACCGCTTACTCCAAAAGAAATTAGAGGACCATCAAAGGTATCCACCTACTAAATATGAAAGATATCAGTAAAGAAATTAAGCAATTAGGAGAAATTTAAGATAAATCCAACTTGCCGAAATAGGTTAACCAGACAAGGCCCTATTTTCAAAGTGAAAAAAGGGAAATAACTGGGAAATATGGATGACACAGTTATATAACTTGGCAATATCATGTGCTTTGTATTGATAAGTAAGTGTGGAAATTATAAAGCCATTAGTATAGATAGAACTTAAGATATTTCCAACTTGCCGTTTTAGGTTAACCATTATTCATTTTCTAAGTGCTGAAAAGGGCAATAACTTGGTAAATATGAAAGCCAGAGTTATGAAACTTGCCCAGATCATGTACTTTGTATTGATTAGTAAGTGTGTAAACTTAGAAGCCATTGGTACAGGTAGAACTTAAGAAAAATCCAACTTGCCGTTCTAGGTTAACCTCGTACGGACAGACGGACGTCCGGCCGAAATGGAATAAGGGGCCATTTCTTTTGTTATTTTCTAATGTTTAATAGAGGGCCAATGGCCCCTTACTCTATTGTTACGGAATGAACTCTATTGTTCTCTTTTGTCCTGTTTACAGTTAGATGGCCCCCTATCCCTATTCGGTAGTGCGGACGGACGGACGGTTCAATTACTATATGCCCGGGGGCATAATAAAAAAAATATGACCAACGTTATAGTTTGCAGAAGTCAACGGGAAAGTCAACAACACCATTACTCTAGCAATAGTTCTTATTTTCTTCGAACAATTTGTGCTAATAAAATAATAATGACAAACATAAAAGTTTACAAACTTCAACAGCATCGGCAATGGCAACATCAACAACATGACTGTAGCAATAGCTCTTTTTTTCTTCAAAAAAAGTATTTTTAATCATACCATATATATTTGCCTATCTAGTTTTTACCATACAAGATATTTCCAATTTGAGGTAATCATAGTCAGAAATACCTTTCAAAACCGTAGGCACTTGCAGATGTTTCTACCATACTGGAGTTAGCAGAATACATTGTATCTTCATCATAGAATGACTGGAATGATGACGAGAGTGACTTGAAACTGTCCACTGATCCAAGCTGCCAAAAAAAAAGATACGCATAGTGAATACAGCAATATCATTGAGTTGACATATGCATGTTTTTATAGACAAAAGAATTGCGTTATCATTGTTAAAACTTTGTTATAAAACAGTTTGGTTTATTTCCAAAATTCTAGTGAGATGTTTGTTACACGAGAAAGAAATAAATAAACTTGATATATCTGCAAAATTACACTAATAAAGAGGTTAAAAGAAGGAAAATAAACAAAATGATATAATAGTTCACCAATGTCAAGCCAGTATTAAGTCAGTATAACAACATAAAGTGAAAGTTTACCGATGTTAAGCCAGTACGATGGAAGGCCACCTCTGATACTTTCCTCTTCAAACAGCATGAATTCTTGATACTATTATATAAATAAAACAACACATACTAATTCAAAATCATCATCTGAACAATTTTGATTAACCAACAGAAATTGATAAATATTTGTTACCTCTAACATATCAGAAACTTTAAATAAAAACAAAAACAATCATTGATTTATCACATGACACACCTTGTTTCCAATGTAAGAGTAACATATACATTACCTGTATTACATCTAACATATGCATTATATGTTGTCATGTCAACAAAGGTTATACAGTCTATAGGATAGAAACATCATACAAATGTGTGTGTAACATGTTAAAACCTTATTATTTTGTTTCATTTCATCAATTAAAAGTCAAGTGAGAAAATTAAAAAAAACTCACATTTTTTGTGATGTAATGTGGGATTTTACTAAACTCAAGTACCGAAAATCTTGCATGATAGTTCCTTGGACTCTTTATAAAACTTAAAATGGACATGATAACTCATATAAGATCCGCGATTTATTTTCATCAAGTATTATGAAAATAAATATTTCACAAACGACTATAGCCACTAGTGATTATGTGATAATTTTCATACCACAAGATGAAAATAAATCCTGTATTTATAAGAAAAAAAAATTTCCTTTTATTATATACTTTTTATCTGTCTTAAGGTGATCAAAAAACTATTACAGATGATTTACTTTCTTTTTTTATTATTTATCTAATATAAATTTAAAAGAAAGTAGTCGAGCAAGACACCAGTGAAAATACAGAAAAAATATTTCACTGCAGTGAAAAATAAATTTAAACAGAAAATGAAAATATGCATTTTATATCAGCAATATTTCTCAATATTTTATTCATAAGTGTATAATATTTTAAAATAGAGAATATTAGTGTTGATTCAATACTGAATTTATTGAATGAGTTGTATAAAGTTATATTATGTGAGCCTCTTTAATATTAGCATATAAATACAGCAAGATTCTATTTCAGTAATGTATACCAACCTGCCTGATGTTGACAAGAAATTAGCACCAACTGTATTATTACTGTAACATAATACACCACTCTCTGGAACTGTAATAAAAAATTATACTGACTTTACAAACGTTATTTTATATAACCTGTAGAAATTTCTAGACAACAAAATGAATCCATGATAAATGCAGAAAAAATAGTCTTGATGAGGGAGATTAACCATAGCCGAGTGGTTAAGGTTTTTGACGCCAAACTACTTGCCTCTCACTGTGATAGGTTCGAATCCTGCTGGGAACTTTGGATTTTTTCAGGTGAGATAGCTGTCCAGTAAGTGTAAGGAATGTGTGTGGCTCTACTCAGTATTAATAAAAAAACATCCAAAAAAGTCAATAAAAGTGCTTAAAATAAATAAAAAACTTTATGCAATGAAAAATTAACACCTCACAACTTTTGGTCACATAAATTTGATAATGATTAAGTCAGTTGAATTCAAATATCATTTTCATAAAGGTTAAGTCAAGTTAAATCTGAAGGAAGATTTACCTAGAGCTGACATGTCTAATTCATCCACATAAATACTGGCCAAATCTCTCTTTAAAAACTGTAAAAAAGTACAATAAAAAATGAAGTTCTCCTAAAAAAAGTTATAAAATATGTATTTTATACAGGTTTTTCTTGATACATTCTCTTAAAGAAGATATAAAGTTATAAGAAATGTTTTGTTTTTTTCTTCAAAATTAAAAAAAATGCTAAATTTATTTCATTGTTGCTTCCATAATCTTAAGTGCATAAGTGAAGAGTTGTATCATAAAATGTCTCTGTTATTTAACACACATGAATACTTTAAATAAACAGATTAAAATGTTACGGAACTAAATACCATGCTGCTATTTTAAGAAGGATTTTTACTGCTCAGCAATTATTTTGTACATGCCCCAATAATTTTGCTCATAAAGAAATATATCAACATACTCCTTTCAAACTTGTTTTTTAGAATTATTCTTTTCATAATAAAAACAAAAATTTTATAAACTGCATTCAGCAGAGATATAATACACTTTAAAACACTTAAAGGAACTTCACTGAGGATAAAACACTTTACAATTTCGGTCATTTTTGACAATCAG